AAAAACGCAAATAAAGACCAACTACTAAGGAAAGCGAAGCTAAGAGAGAAAGTGGGTAAAACTACAATAAAATGAGCTAGAAGCCTAGAAGGTTGAGAAAGAGACTAAATAAAGGGGTTATGAGACATATAAGTGGTCTTTTAGACCACTTATCAAACACACACACACACACATAGAACAACAACACAAAAATAAAAATAAAAAATAGCGAGATCATCATGCAACTTAGCACCTCCTACATTTTTTAGTCTAACATACCAATTATTGTAGACTTGTAGTATGATGTTGGTGACTAATATGAATTCAATGAATGACTTGGATCATTCTTAATGACTGGATGATTTTATGGTAACATACTTCTTATATCATTATTGGACTAAATTTATAGAATTTTTTTTCTTAAACAATGGCAAAATTTCTACATTGGTCAACCAGAGCTTACAAAAATTGGGGCAGGGAGAAGCCATTTGCTGGATAGCCTCTTTTGGTTTTGGATAATGTTTGTGTACTTGAGAAATTTGTGAATTATGAAAGACAAACTCTCATTAGTATTTTGGACTTCTGGTTCTTTAGGAGACCATCATATTTGATTAAGAATTCAATTAGAATTGGTGGTGTTGTTATTTCACTTTGCTATATTACTGGGTGCAGATTTCCTTAATTCCAGTGCACTTTTCTTCTAGAAATTCTAATTCACTGTTCAATTTATAACTTCCAGGACCTTCATGGCCGATTTCTAAGAGTAGCTTATGCTGCTGACCAGAGGCGTACTAGTCCTGGTCCAAGTTTTTCTGGTGCTTCTGGTTATGGTGACAGCTTTAGAGGAAATTATAGTTGTGGAACTGTTACCAGTCACACTGGTGGCAAGTTCAGTGGCGGAGACAGTAACAACGCAAATGGAGGTAGTTATAATTCCCTTAGTAACACAGGATTTGGAAACACTGGAGAATACAGTGATGGAAACTGCAGCAGGCCTAATGCCGGCATATATGAGGGCTTTTCTGCCGATGGAAATGGAGCAGCTAATTACACTGCCAGTCCTGATATCTTCAAGACCCATGTCTCAAATGGATCTGGTGGTGGGCACTATTTACAAAATGCAGGTAAGGACTTTGGAGGCAATCCTGGGGGTGCTTATGGTGCTGCATTTGGTGGATGTAGTTTCGAAAATGGTAGTCATGGGCCCACTGGCAACTATAGCAGGAGCGGTGATGGCAATGGAATTGCTGATAGCTACAACGGAGTTAACAGCTTTAGCGGCAAAACACTTTATAATACCATGAGATAAGACAATGGTAATTGGCAAGGTCATAAGTCGGACACCAGCAATAACTGTAATAATCAGGATGAGACAAGAGGCAACATATATGACAATGGCTATGTCAATTCCAGGTTTGGTTGATTGGAAAATATTACCGGATGATTGAACCATCTAATTGATTCATCATGATTCACGGGAACATGTCTTTTTTTTTCGTTCCTTGCTTATATCGGTTTTTTCCTTTTCTCTATTTTTTCTTTTTGACAGGAATATTGATGGGTTTTTAATGTAGGATTTGAGGGTCATTTTTAAGGAATTCTCACAAAGTAATACTTGGTCTGGTGGAATTCTGGAATTGTAAAAGGTTGATGTTTTGGAATTGTCAATCAAATTACAATTGCAACATTTGGAATTTCACTTTTGTCAATGTATATCATTAAACGTAGATTTGGAGTTGTGCGCTTGAGAATGCTTGAAATTAAATGTTTTGATTGTGAATTTTGTAATAATATTCAAAATTATTGCTTTATAGTATTAATTTTTAATAATTATAGGTTTCATATGCCTTATACAGTTATACTTTACTTTCCAAATAAAAATTATAAATAAATAATAATTCCAATTTAAAAAAAAAAAAATCAATTGAGCAGATAAAAGACCTTGCGAGAAATCATCACTCCTCCAATTGAAGGATTCAAACTCGGAAGTCCAAAAAAAAAAAAATCATTGCTAAACTCCCAAATTATTACATAAAAGCTTTATGGTTTTCGAAATCATAACTACACCAGACTCGCGTAAAACCAAACTCAGACTAAACCCAATCTCCAAAACCTAGACCAATTTCACCAACAAACGCATACCCTGCATGTCCTGCACCCAACTATAATCGAAGAAAGAATCAGAGATACATGAGCACAATTCAAAACCGCCAGAGTCAATTGGCCACCAAAGGCGAGATAAGCTTGCAAGCAAAGGGCGCCAAAAGGTGAAAATAGCAGATTCTTAGAGGGTGTTTTCACATTAATCCTCTTCAATAAAATAACCTTTCCAATACTTTATATTTTATCCGTACATCTTTATCAAAATTCCATTGCATCAATACCCACTAACCATAAAAACAGACAATATGCTGCAGTAGCAATACTGGAAGCTAGCTCACATTTCATTAAAAAATTTGACATTACAATCTGCATAGTTTCTTTTCTTCCAATCCATTAATGCTGAAAGGGGAAGAAAGAGATTTCTAATGGTATTATAGCATCAACCAAAACTAATTGATACAAGCATATAACATACAGCAACAGCATACATTAAAACTAGCAAAGCAGAGTGACCTTCTCAACTCTGAAATCCACAATGATCCTGGAATCTCATTTTGGTTCTTTGTTATTTAGACAAGTACCGCGAGTCCATTATCTGCAAACCGTCACCGGAGCTTGTCTTTGATTCACGTGGCCTGGATAGACGAATTCTTCGATGCAAAGTACATATCATTCAGTTCCGTTGCATCAGATGTCATTTCACACTGCCCAGAATGGTTTCAAAGAGGCAACTTGATTGGCGCTGTTCTTACATGATTCTTTCTCACCTTCCTCGACATCATCATCATCATCATCATCGTCCCCATATTCCATTAGCTTCACTAAAGTATCTGAAACGATAAAAAACTTTCAGATATTTGTTACAAAAGTTACCCGATGGAATTATATACAGTCGTCTGAGCATGCAAAATAAACATTATATTTTATGGTTTTTCTCTAATTTAACAGTCACGGAAGGGATTTTCTTCCCCCAGGTGGTAATTCTTGAAAAAACAATTAAGCTCTGCAGCTACCTGGGACAATGGGTGGATTTAATTTAGAAATGGTGTCCCTGTCGTTCACTTTACTGACAGAGACCGGTGAATCAAACTTAGGCAAAGGTTTATGCATGCTCTTTGATGAAGGTGGTGGTGGCAGCATGCTCTTTGGTGGATTTTGTGACAGAGGCATGCTTCTTGAATCCAGGAAAGGTGTAGAACTATTCCTTGGAGGAGGAGGAGGAAGCATGCTCTTCAAAGAGGGAGGTGGAAGACTCGTGTCTTTTTTACATGGGTCCTGGAGATCTGATTCCTGTAACAAAGTGAAAATCACAACAAATTTGTTTACGAGTATACGATGGCAAAAATGCAATAAACAAGGCTAAAATTGAGCTTAAATGATGTCATTGCTCTGTAAAAGTGTATCCATGCTTCACTTAATAAGGCAAAATATTTTAATACTAAAGTCAGGAAGGCAGGAAGAGATAGTCTGAACTTGCAAGAAATTGAAGAAGAGTAGCAAGCAGAGGTCAACGAATATAGTTAAAATAAGAGATGGAGATGCAAGGGAGAAAATATTTCAGCAAAAAGAAAATAGCTTGGGATTTGTTTGTTTATCGCCTTTTGTTGCATATAGGATCAGCAAAAAGAGAATAGTTTGTTGAGGATTCGTTTGTTTATCACCCTTTATTGCATATTCATAAGGGTGATCAACAAACATATTGTCAACAACCTATTCTCTTTTTAAAGAGCTACACATGTAGCAACAGCAGAAATGAGGAAAAGAAAAATATTATGGCAAACTTGAAGGCACTGGAAACTGAGCAATGACAAAATTGGTGCAGCTAGGCCTGCTACCAAAATGTTGTTCCAAAAGTGCAAATTAGAATGAGAGATGTCAAACTCTACGAATAGAGTCAAGAAGAATGAAAATAGAAAAAAAAACATATATTAAAAAGCCAACAATCAAAACGACTGATCCAATAGAACAAGGAGCAGAAGCACTTGAAGCCCTCATTGGATTTGCTCCCAACTGAAGCTGTAAATCCTGTGAAAACAGTCCATATCGGCCTATTAGCTGCATAGAAATCAGAGAAAATACCTGGAATAATCAGTAGAAAAGGTTAGCCATCATGGAAAAGAAATAACTTTTCTAAATTAAAAATAATTGTGTGTGTGTGTGTGTGTGTGTGTGTGCAATTTGGATAGCTTAATTAAGGAATTATTACTACCTTTGTCACAACTTCACTGCCACATTGATAAACATGCATATTAAGGGGAACCAAAAATGACCACTAGGAAATAATTACTACATTTGTCACAATTTCACTGCCACATTGATAAAAACATACATACTTAACTGGAGTTATGCAATTATAATACAGAATAACAAAAATAAGAGAACATAAAATATTCCAAGTTGGAAAGAACAGTCAAGGTGAAACAAAGGGAGAGTCAAAGGAGTGTCAATATAATAGGACATAGTCCAGGACACATCACAGTATGAGCTAATCATGACTAACAAGTGTTTTTTTGAAGACTAACAAGTTATAGCAATGATGATACACAATCCACTCTAATAACCAAGAAAGCTATCTAGACTAAAATGATGCAAACTCAAACAATTGATGATAGTTAAGCTAAATGCATACAAGTATGAAATTCTATCACAAATTCTAGTAAGCAGTTTGTTATAACCCCAAGGTCCCCAACAAAGTCAACATATTCCAATAAGAAAAATGATGTTCATGGGTTATCTAATACTTCCTCAGTTTTATTAATATTGGAACAATGGACCTTTTGCACTATTATTCATCACTCTTGTTTGACCATATAATATGATTTATACGTTAAGCAAAATATAGTCATATGGGATCTTGTTGGATTCGTCTTATAAAATACTTTCACAATATCAACTTTTTATAATTTTTACTCTTACACAATTATAGATATTTAGCATATAAAATGTGCTTTGGGATGCGTAATTTCATCCTTGTTGCAATATTAATAGAACGGAGGAAGTAGAAATTAACTGCACAAAATTCTTATTCATGTTATATGAAGCATACAGAAGTAAAAAAATCACTTACAAAGGAAATTTAAGAGCATGAGAGAACTTGGATTATAAATACATCTGTGTGAGTACAAAAATAGAATATTTAATCAAAGAAGAACACTAGTCAAACTCCTTTTACAATGTGGCTTACTTTCTTTTTGACTTTCACCTAATTTTCATTCAGACACATTAGAAACTAAATATATGGGATTAACGCTTTGATTGATTGATTGATAAGAAACTAAAAAATATCTAAGAGCATCAGAAAAAATTTAAATTTGACAAATAATAACGAGCAGAGGAAGTTTAGATGCATGGATGTATAAGTATAATATGTTTTCCAAGCGTTGTTTATCAAAAAGGAGACGAGAAAATAATGACGAACTATTACAGCCATGTTTTCCAACAACATTTAAATTCATATGAGAAAGAACAGGACTAAGAGATATCAAAGAATTTTTACCACTGACGAAGGTGGGAAACAGGAATGTAGAAAAGAATGTTACCAAAGTGTATTACCATTATTATTAACAAGTAGTAATATAATAATAAATAATAATAATAATAATAATAATAATGCCTAGTCTGGTATGCTTGTTAATGATAATAAGAATGCACCAAAGTGTATTACCATTATTATTAACAAGTAGTAATAATAATAATAAATAATAATAATAATAATAATAATAATAATAATAAAACTGCAGCCCTAATTATAGTTTTTTCGAGAATAATTCATTAGATTCCTATTACAGCTAGACAATGAAAACTGATAAACCTTGTCATCAAAGCGTAGTTATGAGCCTATAGTACTTAAACTCTTCATTTCAGCTTGAGTATTTATGTTGCATAAATGACACTCCAGACACGTATAAACACTTTGACATTCAATATTTCAATTTTGTTCATAAAATATAAATTCCACTCAAGTATATGTGCATATGGACACTGCACTTGTATACTATTCCATATGACCATACCAAAACATCAATATTCATGAGTGTTCCTATATCATCATATAAAGAACTTTCCATGTCAGACTCTTGGATACATACTTAAGCTTTGACACCTTAATAAAAGTCTTTGCATCATAGAAGTGCTTCACTATTACTTGTATCATGTATGAAGCCTGGCTCTGGATTGCAGAGTGCTTAGGAAAATAGACACACAAAGTATATAGATAGTTCTCGGGATAAACACTACATCACTGACAACAACCCAATTTCTCCCTCTTAAAAGGTGAAACGTAAAACATCATTGTCACAAACATTAAATCACTAGTGAAGGTATGGTATGATCTTCCATGATCAAGGCAACGTAACAAATTCTTGTTAAAGTTAGACCAGAACAGAATTCTAGTCAGAGGAGATCTCTTTTACGTTTACTTACTACCAAATATGTTTAAGTTCGTATTATTAAACAAGATTAACAAGATCCCTCATGATAATGTCTTTTCTTACAAATTAGCATTAAAGTGTAGTCAAAGTTCAGTAAGAAAAAAAGATCGGACTAAAGCAGACTAGAAATATTCATACCAGGCCAGATCAAATTTGACAGATTCATACCAGACTTTTATAAATTCAAACCAGGTGAAGAGAGCATAAACACATGTGTCTAGTCCAGCTTCTTTGTGGGAATAAGTTGTAACTTTAGATATTCTTTCAGCCACCTCTTTAGGGATTCTGTGCGAATCTTGCACAATATTAACATCTGAACGCAACATTTTTCTCCGATTTATATCATTTGTGGACTTTAGCCCCATTGATCTCCTCATTCAGAAGAGTATCAATACCAAAAATTTAGGGCCAAGGACAAGAGTCAATTTTACACTTCAATGTCCTCTAGATTCAATTCATTCAAATCTATTGAATTCAACCATAACGAACAAAGCAGACAAAACATACCTTGGGGCTCTATATTCAGTGGGTGGGTCATATTTTCCTACATTTACGATTTTACAAAACAAAGCAGGTAAGATATGGAGAACACAGCTTTCTTCTCTATGTGAAAAATACGTTCCATTTAAAATGTTGATATACTTCTTATTCTTACCCTCAACTTAACTAGAAGTCCAGTCACTTTAACCCACTATAACTCAGGATAATAAGTTGTTCCTCAGCCCATACAAGAAAATTCATTGAGATACTTTTCTCAATCAATTAATTATAGTGAAAATTCTTTGCATACAAAACAAATTTAATAGAAAATATCTCACTCCAGCTGAACGAACCAAAAATTAAGGTACCTGTTGGGAGATAGCAACTCTATTTACAGCTGCAGGCAACTCTTGGAATTTCCGCTTACGCTTTTCTGACTCTGATAAGCTTTTTGACATCACCCTTGGAGTTGATGTAGCAGGATCAACTGTAGAGGAGACTGGACCTGACTGTCTAAGAGCTAATCCCACTTGCTGCAAAGGTGTGGCCTGCGGATATATTCCAGCATATGCACTGTAGCTAGTACAGGCAGTCAGTGGCTGGGAATAGGGAAGCCCATTTGTTTGGGCATGGCCAGGAGGAAGCAAGGCTCCATGTTGCACTACCTGCCCATAAGAAAAGGAAGTTGGAACCACTGCTCCAACAACCAAAGGAACAGCTACTCCTGGCATTGAAGTTGCAGCAGAACTCAGGTTTTGTTGCATTTCTGTCCCTGAACTCTGAACGCCAACCAACAATTGTTGTGGGGGTGGAACAGCACCATAAACTTTGCATGATGAGACCCTGTACCACAAAACTGTACTTAATACAATGTACAACACCAATTTTAATACCTAAAAAATAAATTAAACATATTGGAGTCCACTAGCAAACAGGGAAGGCTGATGATAAGTTGACATAGATTGGTCCAATACAAACAATTTAAATCAATGCAGCCACAAATAAACATTATATGCAACACAAAAGAGGAAAAAAACTGCGCCCGTCCTGCTAATATCATGTCTCAGAAAATGCATTTAAATTTAATGCTTATATAACGAAATTACTTTTCCAGTATTTCCATAAAGAATAGTCTAACACAAAACCATATCAAACATATATTCATACGTAAGAACTACCTATTTGCACCACACTCTCTACTGATTGTGTCCAAAAGATTTTCCGCTAAAAGTTTTGCATCTTCAAGGCTCTTTTGATTGCTACTGGACAACAGTAAATGTAAAGGTTGCTGTCCCTCTAGGAGCATGAAAAACAAACAAAGTGAGACTCGCTCTAAATTAATAAATAATGTCAGAAAAGACAAAGAGATGCCTCTGAACAGAATAAAGTTGGAAAATAAAAAATTAAAAAATAATTAGGCAGCTCCAAAAGGTTAAAAAAAAAAATGGAGGAATGGCTACCTTCACCCTGAATGTTCCCAAGATACCCTGAACCACGCCCACGTAGTACAACTGTTGCTCCTGTTTCATTTATAATGTGATTTATATATTGGTCCTGCAAGTACAAAAACCAACCACCACCAACCAAAAAAAAAAAAAAAAACATCTCTCCCAATGTATGGAGACATCAGAGAAAGCTCAGACATTAGAAACTCCTCGCATAAATCATGCATAACAAGAAAATTAGAATATAATGTATTCATCAGAAGGTTGAGAAAAAAGAAACTATATTATCAACCAGAACTCTCAGAATTCATCCAAAAGGAACCAAAATATTTTAGAATGATGGTTTGAGCCAATCTCAAAAAACATGAAACCACTGGTAGTGATATCACTATAAACATTTTCCAAAATGGCATGAAGTTGCAATGAATTAATAAATAAACTCATCTATAGATGAACTAGATGAAGCTCATGCGATGCACGGTTTATTTGTATTTTTTCAAATAAAATATTTTACTAAATATATATTTATCTAATAAACTTTATGATATTCGCTTGCTTACTACTTGAATTTATTATTATAAAATGAATTATTAACTTTGTTTCTCATATTTAGATAAAACTTGTAATATAAAAAGATAATATTTTATTTCACAAAGTTTCATACGTGGCTGGTCACACCGTGTGGTCGAGATTACTTAAGGTTAGGAGTTACTTGATTGATCAAGGTTACTCAATCGATCAGGGGTTACTCGGACGGTCAGCGGTTACTCGGTCATTGTTTGGGTGTATCTCAGCCAACCACATGATATGGCAAGCCACACAAAAAAACGCACTGATTTTATATTAATAATTAATATAAAATTTTTGATATAAAATAAATTGCAATTCTTTTTTTTCATTGGCTAAAATATAACATTTTTCTATGTGACGCTCTAAAATTAATCATACGTGGCATAATCCTATGGTACCGTTTTAAAATTATTAATCCTACATGGCGCTTTTTTATTATAATCCTATGTAGCGCTTTAGAAAAACTATTCTTACGTGGCATAATCCGATTGTAGCGTTTTAAAAATATTAATCCTAAGTGGTGCTTTTTTATAATAATCCTACGTAGCGCTTTAAAAAAAACTATTCTTACGTGGCATAATCCGATTGTAGCGTTTTTTAAAAATATTAATCCTAAGTGGCGCTCTAATAATTTTTTTAAAAATAAAATCCTATGTGGCGCTCTAAAAACTCGGAAAAAAACTCCCCTTAATATATATATATATATATATATATATATATATATATATATATTAGATTTATAATATTTTCGTTCAAAATGACCTATTAAATACGCACTTTTGGAAATTAATATTAAAATATCAACAAAATAAAAAAAAATCCAAAAAAAAAAAAAAAACACCACCCAAAATCAAAGTTTAGGTAACACTTCCCACTGACAATTTAAGGGGCCCACTAAATTATTTCCCTCCAAGGGCTCCAACTACCTATGAATTACTAAATCAAACCTCTCGTATTTAAAATGTCTTCCTTCTTCCCTTAGATTCAAAACACAAAACTAATTCAAGCTACCAAAAGCTTTAACGATTGATTGATTTCTTTAAAAATAGGCATGATTCTTCAATAATGTATCCATGAATATAGGGGTTAGGGTTTATATACAGTTGTGGTTCACCCAATTATAAAACTTAAAGATTTCAAGTAGGGGGATTAGAGTTCTTCAATAGACTTAGAGGTTTTCATTTTGGGGATTTAGAGTTACCAATTACCATTGAAAGGTTTTTCTTTGCTTAACAATAAAACAGTTTTGGAGAAAAGTTGTTCAAGAGATTCGATTTCACTTTCTTTATAAAAAAAAATGAAGTTGAAAATAAGGGAATTCAATAAGAAAGAAATGAGGACGTTGAGGGAGACAGAAATAAGAGGGGTAGAATTGACTTTTCACATGCCAAAAATCGAAAGAAAAAAAAAAAAAAAAAAAAAAAAAAAAGAAGGGCCCTAGTTGGAACCACTTGTAAATAGTGCAACCCAAACTTTTTGAGATTTTTGGGTAGCTTATCATTACAAAAAAATAATAATAATGATAATTAAAAGGTAGTTTATTACAAGTGTATAATTTAATTGATAGTTTCTACCAAAAGATCATGATTTTATTTGCACTACATTTCCTATTACAAGATAGGTGTAATCCACTATTGAATGTCAAATATAGGATGGAGAAGCAAAGATAGTTTAGGTTCTTTCAATATTAATGTACATTAGTAAGAAGGCAGGTGTAAGATGCGAAATTGACTCACATTTGGACCACGTATTCTTGCAACCATGTTGAGTGATGGATCTGCATCAAAGCCCAAATAGATACATGTGCTAAATGGCTGAGATACCTGATTACATTGTGATGAACAAAAACTTAGCTTTGGATAAAATTCAACAAAAAATTTGAAATTCTGGAACAGTTTATGCCTGCAATGATCTACAACTAGCAAGCAAGTTTCGAACCTGTTTCAGCATATCCTCAACCATGGCAGCTGCACGATCTACTGCAAGGATCCGTTCTGATGTCTCTTTCAACTGCAATAAAGTCCACACTTAAATTCTCGGATAACATAATTCTGTCATAACAGAGGCACTTTTTACAGATCCTTCCTTTAATTTCCACCCCCTTCCCCTATCCTCCTCCTCCTCTATAAAGCATTTAGAAAGTACTATATATAGAAGTGTGCCAGATGGATGTTATCTTTATAATGCACCAACTGATAAAATCTCTATTAAAAATAAAATAAAAAAATAAAAAAAATAAAAAACACATCAATGTGTTTTTCTTAATCAAATTAGAAAACAGAATATTGTAGATTTTCCATGGTTAGCAAATTACTAAGGATAACTTGTATCAGAATCATAAGAATCTGTGAACAAGATGCTTTCCTTAGTTGGTGATCAAATCTCAAAGGTATTCTTGTGCATTATGTACGACTGGCAAGATCAATTAACTTCTATTCTCCTTGTTCCAGAAATAGATAAATCAAATTTAACTTTTCAATTATTGAAATATAAAATATTTGCATCCACTGTGTGAGGCAGGATAAGTAAATTACAGCAACCAGAGTACTTGCATCAAAATCCTTACTTTTATCCGGCCCGACAATGAAACAGAAAAAAAAGACATAATATAGGTTATATATGTCTGTAATATAGGGAAGCTAAACCTTTAAGCTAAAGCTTGACCAAGGATAGACTCAGCTCAGCTAAACACATGATTGGTCACGCTCGACTTGATCTCAAAGCTAATCGAGCTGAAAATTTTAAGGTACGCTGATAGAATACTATTCATCAATAATTTATTACATACTTGCATGATATTGGATTGATTAAAAGGACTGTTTTTGTCGGGGGGAAATCAAGAAAAGGTAAAGGTAGTTCATCTAAGGGGGCATATAGTATAGGGTAATTAGAAAAGGGAAAGGGAATTAACAAGGCATATTCCCTTTGTTGTTGCTTGTAATGCCCACTTTAGTCACTCTCTTTACCCTCTCCATCCCCCAAAGTCCTCTAATTTGATTCCCCACTCCCCATGGTATTTCCATTCCCTTTCTTAAACAACCATACACTACCACACCATCAATACACCACCACTGCCTCTCACCACCACCGAATGCCATACCATGCCACTTTCACCCACGCCGTCCAACCATTGTCATCCTCACCGGCACCACCCCGCAACCACCACCTCTACCCACTCGATAATCATCCCGAAACCAATCCTCCCACCCACCCAAAACCACCCCACCATCCAAAACACATATTCCACCGTCCCAAAACCATACCCCACCACCCAAAAGCCACCCTCCCCTAAACCAACCCCCACCCAAAAAATAAAATAAAAATAAATAAATAATCATCTTACCTTGAAAACCCACTGATACCCACTCATAACCACCAACACCCATCCAAAACCCACACCCTAGAAATTCGAAAAGAGGTACCAAGATTATTAATGAAAACATACCTTCTGATATCATCCATTATGGTTTTAGATGGTCAAATTCGACCTTCAAAACCTTAGAATTTACAATCTAGTGTTTTCATGGTCGAATTTGACCTTAGAAACCTAAAAGATAACAATGGCGTGATAAAACAATTAAAAAATGAGGATGGAGAAGAAGAGCGGCAGCAACATGGTTGCAGGAAGGAGAGTGGCGACGACGGTGGTAAGGAGGGGAAGTGGTGTGGATGGAGGGTGGTGATGACTTCATGAGAGTGAGTGGAAAATGGTGTAGCAAGGATGAGAGAAGGAAGATATGAGATACCAAACAGCACCCTATATCAAGGTAAGTTACATTCTATTCTCCTTTCTCTTTCTTTAACTCATTCCCTTTCCCCTAAATGAACAAAACGACCATAAATCCCTTTCAAGCTGTTTTGTTAGCTATTTTTCAAATTTCCTTACCCCAATTTCCTACTTAAATTCTTGTCCGCATCAAGGCCCAAGGGTTATCCCATTATCCTCTACCCCCCTCATGTACTCCACCACCACCCAACCACCAGTCCACAAAACCTAAAACCTACTTTCACCCAACCCACATCCAACCGAGAATTCCTTAACCTAACCACCACCATCCATCAAAACCCGACCTCCACAATCACCTACACCAACACCCACCAAAATTTCCCACCAAAAACAAAGGTCAACCCACCATCAATAGTGAGCAACCAACATCTCCATTAGAACCTTGATTACTCCAACCAACCGCCAAAGTTGAAGGTCTAGGATTAGATCCACACATAACATGTGAGGATGACTAGAAAGAAGAATATTATTGTATTCCCTTCTTCTAAGAGCATAATAGTAGAGCATGTATATGTATTGCTTTCATATAAGGGATTTTCCATATGGTACCACTATACAATTGTCTTTTCCATATGGTACCCAAATTTTTCTTTCTTTCATACGGTACCACCGAAGATTAGTGTTAAGTGAAACAGTAACAGCTGTAACACTCCGTTAATTGGGACGTTAATTACACATTCCAAAGTAATTTAACATGTTTGTCCTTTCTAGGAAATTACATTTTTACCCTTAGCTAATTACACATTCCTCCTTTCTCCTTCATCTTTACTCAGTGTTCCTCACCTCATGTTCATTCTCCTTCTTCTCTCTCCTCCTTTTCAAATTCATTTTCTCTCTCTTCAATTCATGAAAATTTCTGCAATTTTTTTTATGCTTTGTTAATACTTAATAAGCTTCCTATATATTTTTTTGTATTTGATTTTTCGTTTGATGCTGATTTTGTTTGTGAAAATTACCTTTGAAATTAGTGAAATTTCGATTTTGTTCAGCTAGTTATGTCTTTGATTATGAATTAATGCTTGACTATAAGCGAGATTTGCGTTAATTTGGCTAAAATTTATGTACGAATTAGCTTTAAATTTGGTGGAAAAGTAGATTTGAGCTATAATTTTACTCCGTATTCTTTTTCGTCTTCCTCTGCGATTTGCAATAACATACGAGTATCAAATTGAAATTGTCAAAGTGAGATGATTCATGTTCACTCCTCACATGTTGATGAGATTGTTTGTTTAGTGGGTGGTAGTCTCGAGCGAAGCCAAGGATTGATAATTTTGTGTTCTTCATGATGTCCATTCAAACTTTGGAGTTTTTGGTCCAGAATCATGGGGGTGGAATCTTCAGATGCTCATCGTTGGCTAATCTAAGCTTCTTAGAGGGTGTTTAGTTCATTAAGTTGGAATGGATTGGTATGTAATCTCATACTTAAAAGATATGAATTCTAAAACCCATACTAGTCTAAAGTTGTTTGGTTTCATTGTTGGAATGGATTCTATCCTTCATAAATAGAATAAATTGTAAATCTTCGGGGGAGGGGTGGGTATGGGATTCCATGGGTATGGGGGAGAGTTAGAACCCCTTGGGTATGAGATTCCATTACTGAAAACCTCAACCAAACAAAAAACTAGATGGAATGGATTCTAACTCCATTCCAATCCATTCCAAATGTTCCAACCAAACGACCCCTTATTGGAGTTTGATAACAAATCATCAAGAAATGATTTTGATAGTGCACCACTCAGCTAAATAACATCTCATATAGCAGAGTGTTACTGTTTCAATTAATGCTAATCTTTGATGGTACCGTGTGGAAAGAAGAACAATTTTGAGTAGCATATGGAAAAGAATTGTATAGTGGTACCATATGGAAAATCCCTTAATATAATTACTTAATAAAGATTGGAATTTTACTACTTCCCTAAAATTGCTACATCAAATAAAATTATAATTTTCATGAATAATATTGTTACTTAATACTTAATAAAATTATAATGGAATCGTTTATGAATCAGCCTAACTCAATATCACCCCTACTTTCGACACACTACCAGTTTACATATATGAATTAATGAGCATGAAATGACATTTTCTATTTTATCTAGCCATTTCATTTCATTTCATTCCATTAAAAAAAAGTAAATAATACTCCCTCCGTCCCCGAAACTTCGACCCTTTTAGCCTAATTTTAGTCCCAAAATGTTCATCCCATTTGTATTTTAATACCCTTTAATTTGCAATAATATTTGTGCAAAATTAGCTTCCCCATGCAAATTTTGCTTTTTCTATATACTTTTATTACTTTCTCTCTCTACTTTTTTGCAATTTCAATGTAAATTTCCCTTTTCAATGTACTTTTCTTAGTTTCCCCATATACTCTTACACTTCCAATTTAACTTCTTAATACCCGCGAAATCAACCCAAAAGGGTCGAAATTTCGGGGACGGAGGGAGTACAAGGAAATACAATTAAAGGGGGAAAAAAGGGAGATAATCAGGGGCACGTAACATACATGAGCTCCAGCAGATACGTGAAGGTAAAGTGGTTTATCACCATCTGGTACTGCATTGGGTGGTCGATACTTGCCCCTGGAGAATATGTCATCATCACAAACAAGATATGAAAAGGAGAAGATATAACACGAACAACCATCAGTAAGGCTTTCAAGAGCCTCCAAGAACAGACTAACCTAGTTATTACGACTGCACCAGTACACTTTTGAATCTGCACTTGTAAACCAAACAGTGCATGAGTCTCCTCGTAAAGTAATAATACTTATATCAACTGATGTTTACATCAGCCAGCCTATGCTTCCAAGTTGGTACCCCTTACTTTAGGGTGTGGGTTTTTTGAAACAAAAAATACCAATATTTCCATCTGAAATGCGAATAAAAAATAAAATAATAGTATTGGTCTATGGGAATTCACCTCTTCCTGTGTCTGACGTTTTGTCAGCTTGTAACGCATAGCTGGATCTGCATCATTTATAACAATTTCTCTTGCTATTATGAGATCATCCTGAATCTTCGGCTGTAATGCCAGAATGATACTTATAGATAAGTAAATGAAATAAATCAAGAAAATCCTGAACTAGTATAAAACAATGGCAAATTGGTCAATGGACAACCACTTAACATAGGTATTATTATGCCCTCCAAAAAAAAAGAAAAAGGAGAAGCAGTTTCATTAAATACACGTGATGAACAAACACATTGCTCACCCAACAACCATGGATGCAGACACTCACATCAGATAACCCATCTTCTTTTCATTATGACAGCCAAAAGAAATCATCACCATTCACAGCCACACAAGGTAGATAAATCACAAAATTGTTGATATGCATACAGAGACTTTCACTCAAATAAGAAAAAATTCAGTAAGTATAACAGATTACAAGAGTTATATCAAGAACCACTATAACTAAAAATATAGAGGATAACATAAATCTATAATTCTAAGACAAGACAACACAGCTCACCTCAATTAGTTTTTGGACCACAGCAGCAGCTTGTTGTTGCACAGAGGCCTGAATACTGACATAAGAAGCTTTCGTGGAACTGGTTGAAGCAGCACACGAAGCTGAAACCGCTCCTGGAAGAGATATACCAGAGCATCCTACAGTGTTCATGGGTAGCATTCCAGGCAAAACTCCACAAGAGACAAAAGATTCGTCAGGCTGATCCCACCTCCTCTTCTTTCTGCAACAATAGTTGAACATTATTGCAAAAAATAAAAGAAAAAAGAAAAATTACAGTATAATGATATAAATAAAGTCTTAAAGTGATAAAGGTGTTACAGCAAGAGCAAACTTTTTACAATGATAAAACTTCATACACTAATCATTAGGGGTAAAAAGTGACAGCAGTAGCAGTCACAGTGTCGCAGAAACAGCACCTCATGAGTGTTAAATCAGTACTTGACTACTTGCAGCCATCAAAGTGTAAACTGAACTGCAAGTTTGTGATTCTAGGGTCTTGGGAAGATATATCTAAATCGTACAAGATTATCTACTTCCAAACACCTTTTGTTGTTATTTTAAGATGGGGGATAAAAATTGAAAGAGTATCTACCTTATAATAACAGATTATAACAACTAATGCAGTGACATCAATGAAGAGAGAAATTTGGATAATGGACCAAGTGTCAACAAACTTCAATCTCATTCTGCCTCTAGGATTATGAAGTACAACCATCCTCTTAACTACCTTCTCACCCATTGAATAGACCAAGGAGATAGGAGAGCTTGACCTCATTTGCAAAACTTTCTTAACTCCAAAAAAGAAAAACCTTTACTGATAATGTAGTGCCGAAACGGCAAAACCTAGCCCTGTTTGACAGCATCTTCTATAAGAACTTAGCAAATCAACATTAGGTGCATCCATGCATAATGAAGATGTATTCACTATCCAAAAAATCAGACTCATTCTCAGGAAGATGATCTCACTTAAAACAAAATAAACCATTAGACAACCTTTCACAAGTCATATACTCATATTGCTCATACCCTTAGCCAATTTCCATACTCCCTCCCTATTATGAATCTGGACAATATCTTTCCGGATAGTCAATATCGTTATGCCACGGAATGAAGCTATAGAATTACACTAGGTTTTTGGCAACTACCTACTTTGATTGACTACAATGTTAAATACTAAGAATTAAGCTATAGAATTACACTAGGTTTTTGGCAACTACCTACTTTGATTGACTACAATGTTAAATACTACAGAAGTATTCGATTCAATCAATTTAATTATGCTCTAGTAAGCCATGGTCAGAACTATAGTCGGACGCTATGTACTTGTACCCAACAACATACAATAGTTTATTATCAATACTTACAATGCTACTTTTGGGTCTATAACCCATAAAAGTAATAGCTCCCATTAAACCAACAATCACCCACAAAAATCACAATTTACGCCATGCGGTAGTTCCATAATACTTCGTAAAATTCACAGATTACACACCTTAATTTATAAAAATTGCAAAAACATAAATAAAATAAAAATAAAAAAAAAACATGGTCAAACACCCAATTGCAAGTTAATTACTTGGTATTCAACCACAATCCTCATCCAAAAAACATAGAAATCGAAAAAAAACAACATAGATCCAATTACGCAACAATAACAAGAAGAAAAGAGTTGGAATTAAAGAAGTTAAATTAGACAATAATTTGAGTTAGAATTCTTGAAATTGGAATTGGAAAACAAATTACGAGAATATTATGATTTGGTGAAAATTGGAAATTAAAGAATTTAGTGAGAAGAATGAACCTTTGCTTGGAGATTGAAGCTTGATTTTCTGCAACGTAATCCTGTGTCATAGTTTTTGGTTCGTTGATTATGGTCGCCGGTGAAGAACAAACGGTGGACTGAAGGAGAGGTGTTGAAGGGATGTTCGTCATTTTCTGTCTTCCAATCTTTTGTTTTTACCCTTTTGTCTTACAAGGGGTGTTTAAAAGGGATTTTTCACTAAATTGAGCTTTTTTGGAAAACTATTTATCAAATTGGTCTCGTGGCAAAAGTATTTCCCAAACTAAGCTTTTGGGGTAAAATGCTTTTACACCCAAAGTTTTTATAAAAAAATTCAAGAAATAAAACGCTATCTGAGACAGCGTTTTACTTGTTTGACTTTTTTTACCCAAACTTCGTATTTCTTAATTTATTGAAAAAAAAATACCTCAATACAGGAAAACGCTGCCTCACCTTTAGCATAAAACGCAGGAGGCAACGTTTATACCTTTAGCATAAAACGCAGCCTGTGGCAGCGTTTCTTGAGGGGCATAAGTTCAGTTTCTGGTGCGTTTTTCACATCATCACAAACACATTTTACACTCTTTCTCTCACTAAAGTAACCCTCATTCTCACAAACACCGAACCACCGCCGCTGCCACCGCCGCCCCTGCCGCCGCCCAAGTGAAGGGAAGCTATTGCCGGCATTGTCTCACTCACTCTCTAAATCCGGGTAAACCCTAAATTCGTAGTATAATTTGACATTGAATAGTTGGTAGTTTTTGTATGTTGTAGCAAATTGTGATGTAAATTGTACTAATTTGTTGCTAATTAGTAATGAAAATGTGATAAATTATTGATAATTATTGATGATAATGTGGTACATTGTTGAGGAAAATAATGTGGTTTATTTTTGATGAAATTGTTGATGGTAATGTGGTTTATTTTTGTGAAAATAATGATGAAATTGTTGATGGTAATGCGGTACTAGTATGTTGATAGTTGTATGCGGTACTAAGAATTAATGAATTTGGTGTTGATAGTGAGAATGAGCTTGTTTCATTGTTGCCATATTAGCTAGACATGTAGGTTCTTGAAATTTGATATGACTTTCCATTATCAAAGCTATGTATGTTATGTATTGTTAAATTAGGGTTTATTTACGTTGTTTTAGAATTCGATTATCCTTAAATGTGTTTTGGTTGTTATGTAGAATATGGCTACACAAAATGTAGTGTTGTTATGCCGGTGGGGAGGTGAAATTATGTTTGATGGATCAAATGTTGAGTATAGTGGAGGGAATATGGAACTTATAACACTTGAACCGAACATGACTGTGATTAATCTGATGAATGAGGTTCACAGTATTATCGGCTCAAACACAATGAATGTTGAACTGAACCTTAAAATGAGGTGTGAGACTGGCCATGGGGTTCAATTGTTACCTGTCTCTACAAACAAACATTTAAAAGCTTTGAGAAGCATTGTTGCAATGAAGGGTGTTCCTAATGAGATATATGTAGAAACGGTGCCTATATGTACCCAACAAAGTACTTGGGCAGAACAACATCCTACATATGTCTCCAATTACAACACCGCGTCCTTCCAAGGCCCTTCAAACCACATTTCATCGAATGAATATGGGATGGGAACTTTCAGTCACTTGCTGCATGACGATCAATTTCAGATGCCGTTTAGTACTCATATAGGTTCACCGGTTCATGCGGGGGGATGTGGGACAATGTTCAGCCAATCCGGTCCTTCGACATCAAACACCGTGGCTCCGTCACCGATGCGAGATGAGGTTCAAGCATCACCGTCTCAAGAAGAGCCAAGTCATTTTGATAATATTGTGAATAACGAATTGTCGGTGTACGATGTGTATGCGGATACAAATGATGAGGACGATAATGGGGAGGAGGATGATGGGCTTGATGACATGGGTCTTGAAGCTGGGCAGATGGAAATTGATGAGCCCTTGGTTAGAACTGCAGTACCCTGGTTTAGTCAAATAAATGAGAATTATGAAGTTGATGAGTATTGGGCCGATTCAGGGAGTCATACATCATTTAACTCCAACACATGAGTCCGGATAGTATTAGTTAGTTGATCTTTTTGTGGTACTCAGATATTTAACAATGTTGTATATAACGCTTACATTATTAATACAAGAAATGTTTTTTAAATGACTCTGTAACACCCCAATAATTCTCTCTTTAAAACCTGTATTAACCTGCAATCACCTGTAAATACTTTTAATAACCTGTGAGAGAATTACTGGCGTGTTACCGCCACGTGTTTCAAACGTTAAGGCTGGTTTTAGAAATCAGCAGCGGAAAACTAACTTAGTTTTAAAAATAATATAAGTTTCAAAACTAAAAGTCAAAACTCAATTTAGTCTTACAAGTTGGAACCATAACGGCCCTTATTCAAAACCCAATAAAATAGGAAGCGAGTAGAGTTAGAGTCAAAACGCGATTAAAACGTGATTAAGAAAATTTTCGAACGGAAATTCAGAAATTAGTTACGAAAAATTAAGAACTTGATGTTGAATTAAACATCATCATAGTCATAGAAAAATCACAACAAAATCATGCTCAAATTAAACAACTTTAGCAACACGTTTTTAAGCCCTAAAACCATGAAAATCAAGTTTTAAACCCTAATTTCACAAATTATGAAATCTGAAAATTAATTATATGCTTAACATATCATAAACTCGATAAATTTGCAATCTTTCACAACTCAAAAACATAATCAAACTATAATAATTGTTAATCAACAAAAAATTCATGTAAAGATTAAAGCTTTGAAGAATTTAAACAAGAAAAGAAAGGAAGATAGAAGAAAAGGGGGAAATGGAGGAAACCGACGGCGACAGCAAGGTTGAGGCAGCGGCGAGGGTCGCCGGCGGCACTACGGTGGTGGGTTACGGCTGAGGCGGCAGCAGCGCAACAGAGGAAGCAGCAAATTTTTTTGTTTTTTTTTTTTTTTTTGTTTGTGAGTCGTGAAAGGAGAAGAAGGGAGCAAGGGAAAGGGAGTAATAAGGGAAGTAGTAGAAGGCAATATACGAGGTTTTTGAGAAGGGGAAATAAGGAGCAAGTTTCCTTAATTATAAATGTGAATGAGGAAAAATAAGGGGTAAGTTTACTTAATTGAAATGGAAGTATGGGTTTAAAAATTCTTGTTTTTATTTTTGTGAAATCTTCCCAAAAATATTTTTGCATAAATATAAAATTATTAAAAATATTTGTATACATAAAAATATATAATTATTATTTACTAAGAAAAATATGGGGGATTACAGACTCTCTGTACAATTTGAAGTTTATTTCCCTTATTTGTCCGAATTTGACTTTTGTCAGTAGAACTATATCTTTCATCGCCGTTATATATATCAAACAACATATATTTGGTCTCCTGCACTTAAAGTGCTGTTTCACGATGGTTGTAGTGTTGTTGGGGTTGTTTCCAGTGTTTGGTGGTTGTCGGTGGTGGTGGAAAGGTTGGGGCTGGTGGTGGGAATGCTCTTGCATTGTTTAGGGTGTTTTGCATTGCATATGGGTGGTCGAGAGTGGCGGCCGGTGGTGGTTGGGGAGGTGGTTGATGGTGGTGGGGGTGGTGGTTGATGGTGGGGGAGGTGGTTAATGGTGGTGGGGGTGGTGGGAATGCTCTTGCATTGTTTAGGGTGTTTTGCATTGCATAAGGGTCGTCGAGAATGGCGGTCGGTGGTGGTGGGGGAGGTGGTTGATGGTGGTCGGGGTGGTGGTTGATGGTGGGGCTGAGGCTGAGGCTGCTGGGTGAGGATGATGTGTAGGGGAAGCAGCAGATGGACAGGAACAGCAGCAGATAGACAAGAACAGCAGCTGATGGATAGGAACAACAGCTGGTTGCTGGTGATGCAGTCAAGCAGAAAAACGCTGCCTTAGGCAGCGTTTTATTCTTTAACATTAAACGCTGCCTCAGGCAGCGTTTTAAAGCCCACATACATATTTCAGTAATATTTTGCCAAAATACATACCAGTATATTTTGCCAAAATACATACCAGTATATTTTGCCAAAATACATACCAACAAGTCAACATCATAAAACGCTGTCTGAGATAGCGTTTTATGTCTTGATTTTTTTTTTTAAAAAAACCCTAGGTATAAAACGCTGTCCGAGACAGCGTTTTACCCCAGAAGCTTAGTTTGGGAAATACTTTTGCCACGATACCAATTTGGTAAATACTTTGCAAAATTAGCTCAAATTCGTAAAAAATCCGTTTAAAAGTGCTCAACTGACTTAAATACTTCCTTCTTTTGTAATAATTGCAACACTAAATATTGTACAAAGTTTTAAGAAATTTAAAAGAAGGGGACCAAAAGAGAAATTTTATAATATAAAGTACACTTAGTAGAGATATATTTAATTGTTAGTGGGAGTAATAAAACAGTACTCTCTTTGTGTTTTAATAAGTGTTACACTTTGAGCGGCACATAAGTTTAAACAATTTTAATTGTCTTAAATAAAATAAAAAATAAGTGGGATAGTTGGACATAATCATAAAGTACAATTATATTGCGAAGAAAAGATAGCCTTAAAGCATTATACGATAGCATAATGTCCTCCTTCAATTTATTTGTGTTACCTATTTTATCTAGATGAAAAGGTCAAGATATCAGTGTTCACTATTTGAAATAATTTTGTTGGTAAATGATTTGTCTCGTCTAAAGAGATGATTTTTTTACACCGGTATAAAAGAAGGTAGCTCCCAGCAGACCGAGACTACCAAACTGACAAAGAGAAAGACTAGGGGAAAGTTTAACTCTCTTAACAGAACTAATACAAGAACATGATTGAGAGATGGGGGTACAATATTCAAACGTGTTAAGTAATACAAATGTGAGGGTTGACAAGCTTAATCACATATCATAGTCCTCAGATGCTCAAAACTTGTTCATTTGTGCTTCTTAGACTTGCAAAACCAATACCTGGAAAGAGTTTGCCTTTCTTGTTCTTCATTTTTGATTTGTGAGACCTTCCATACTTCCTTGTCATGGTAGAGAACTCAGTAGTGTGAGTGTGTACCAAATCAGAATCAAGATCCATGGGGTCATCTTCATACGAACCTACAGATTCCACTTCCATAGGGCTAGTAGGGTTAAAGTCTCTCGCAGGCACATCACTCCCATCCTCAATGCTCAAATCCTCATTACCGTTAGCAAATAGA